TGGAATAAAACTATAAGACTTTTTAAAGAACATAAAAACGACCTGAACAAATAGAGATAAACCCAATGCTTGGGATGTGGACCCAACCACTGTGACTTCAACAACCACACACTTAACAATTCTGATTCACAAATAACCCTTAAGGACATGGTCTAGGGAAATTAACTGAGGATTTCTTACTAATTTAAATAAGATAATGTCTCATGCCAGATTATCCAGTAACCTGTGAAGAATAAAGTCCATTTGCTCTCAGTAAAGATGTCCTATCAGGGCAGTGTCTAATTGGTCTGCTGCAAGAAAAGAAACTCACTTTACCAACCCTAGATTCATGTGTTTATTAAATACTAAATAGCTTTACCTAAATATCCAATGTGAAATTAAGGATGAATTATGTTAGCTCTGGCCTCCAAGTAGCACAGCTACGATGATATATGAGGATTATGGATCTCAGTAAATGGATGGGAACAGATATTATATAAAGAATCCAGGAGAGATGCTGCCTTATCCTTAGCTTTCTAACAGCATGTGGATCCAATTCTTACCATCATTCTCTCACTACCTTGTTGTTCTATCATTACTGTTACTCATTAAGACAATTCTCAGACACTTCAGTGCCTTGTTAGAAATGATCGGACAAAATGAAATTTCCTGATTTATTACTGCTATGTTGATCAGCTGGAATGTTTAGCCAGCTGTTTATGTGGCTCTCTACAAGAGCACTTACTGTACTGGAAAAACCTGCTGAGTTTATGGGAGAATAAAAACTTTCAGAATGATTTCACAATATTTATAAGCCATAGAACCAAGGAAACAGCAATTTGGAGCCTAATTGATAGGAGGGCAGTTAATCACCTGAACAACACAGATGTAATAGAAGAAACAGGGCCCCCCAAAAAACAAAGAAGGAGCCAAAAATATGTGCCAATACAGTTTTTCTTTTCTTTTCAAGATTTACTTAATTATTTGAGAGAGAGAGAGAGAGAGACAGCAGGGGGAGGAGCAGAGGGAGAGGGACAAGCAGACTCCACGCTGAGCGTGGAGCCTGACACAGGGCTCAATCTCATGACCCCTGTGATCATGACCTGAGCTGAAATCAAGAGTCAGATGCTTAACCGACTGAGCCACCTAGGTGTCCCTACAGTTTTTCTTTTTAAAGGTGTAAAATGGAATGATAAAGAAAAGGGGAAAGGCACTAGGGGAAGAGAAAAGGAGAAGAAAAAGGAAAACAAATATATATTGAATGATTATCACGTGCTTCTTATATGTTAATGCAGAAGAAGCAAGACACGGGAAGTGGGAAAAATAGATAAAGATCTAAGAGTCCCAATTTCATAGGGATAAAAATAAGAAAGAAGAGATAAAATATATAATGTTATGTTTTTATTAATTTTATATCTATTCCAATTAGGGCTCAGAACTAGATATTTACATTCTAATTTCATTGTTCATAGAATGTATTACTATTAATCAATCAGTAATGGAAATCAGACTCTGACAACTTGTAACTATACAGAGTAATCCTATACTCTGTATTCTTTTGTGTCTTTCTCTTTTCACATTATATTTAGGAGACTGAGCCATCTCATTGCATATAGTCTCTTGTAACTACAAGAGAGATTCGCTTGAACTTTTGTATTAAAAAATTAAAATTCAAAATAATGCCAAAAAGCTTAAAAACTCTTGCTCTAGAAGTCTAGAATTGTAGTAGGCTGGAGTTTTATGTATTATGTTCATTTCCAGTGTAATTGGAAATTGTTAAAAAGGAAATTGTCTAAAAGGAAATTGTCTGTGAGCCCTGCTTGTATGTAAAATAACACATCTCCAAATGAATGAATGAGAAATTGGGATCATCACCTTAGAATTCAATTAAATTGCATTTATAAGAAGTATCTATTCAAAGACTGACCAAAGCTGGATAAGCCACTGTGTTTCTTAAAGCCCTTTGGGGGTGCCTGGGTGGCGCAGTCGGTTAAGCAACCAACTCTTGGTTTTGGCTCAGGTTGTGATCTTAGGGTTGTGATCTCAGGGTCATGAGATCGAGTCCCACATTGGGCTCTGCACTCAGTGCAGAATCTGCCTGAGATTCTCTCTCTGTCCTCCTGCTTGTGCTCGTGCTCTCTCTCTCTCAAATAAATAAATCTTTTTTTTTTTTTTTTTTTTTTAAGCCTATTAACCTGACTTTCAGGGAGAGTAGCAAACTTAGAAATTCTATCACAGCTAAGGCATAGAAATCAAATAAATCACTTCAGGTCACCCAATGTGTTTGAAGATCTGACTGCTACAAAAGGAAGGGAAGGAGAGAGGGAGGAAGAAAAGACACTAATGTGTGGACCCCAAAGCATGAAGGCATGAAGGTATTGCTGGGGGTAATTTCTGGTTCATATCTGTTTGTTTGTTTTAAACCATAAGACTTTAGTTTGAAAGAGAAGAGGGTCTGCCAAAGGTAGTTGTGAAAAAATTATTTTGGAAACCTAAGATTCTGCAAAATATCTGATCTCTCCCCAAGCCTAAGGCCATACACTTATGACCATTATCTGTATTCCCAGACATTTTAGAAATTAAATACTATTTATTTATTTATTTGCGAGAGAGCATGTGCGTGTGGGGTGGGGGAGAGAGAATCCCAAGCAGACTCCCTACTCAGCATGGAGCCCCACATGGGGCTTGATCCCAGGTCCCTGACATCATGACCTCAGCTGAAATCATGAGTCAAATGCTTAACTGACTGGGCCACCCAAGCGCCCCGGAGATTAAATACTTTTTTAAAATTTCTGCTTCTCCGCTCTTCCTTTGAGGAACTGCCCCTGTCTCAGACTCCAAGTGATGCTGGGGCCTGCTAGTCACGTAGGCCAAGGGGTGGGCACATGATCCAGTCGAGGACAGTCTCTCTCCCCTGGGAAACTGGTAAGAGGTAGTTGGAACCCAGTCACTAATGGCACAACCCTAAAGGAAAGATCCTCAGGTTTCTTCCAAGTGTTGCCTTTCCTGAGGTTTGGTTTATAGCTCTTCTGTCAGCTCCTTAGTACACTCCCAACAACTCCGTCCTTCATGCCCGATGAAGCGTCTGTTTTGATGTTTGCTGCCAACGGACTTTATTACAGACTTGGACGGGTCTTCGCAACCACGGCACTCACCTCAGGGGGTGTCACAGTGGACAAGTCGCACTGTGGCTGCCACAGTTCCCCAACAGGACTTGCCACAAATAGACGAGAGAACCCTTGTTGGAGCCCAGTGGCACTAGAGCATGTTGGGATGGCAGCAGCATGTGGGACCCAGCGCTAGCCTAAGAGATCAGCGTTGTGGTACTTCCACCGCCATCTTTGCTGTCTCTCCGCCTTTCTTTTTGCCCTGCCACAACCTAGTATCTGAGCTGCTTCTGCAGCCTTCCAGTCTCTCTGTCCCCCTTGCCTTCCTCCCACTCCCCACATCTCATATCCGTAAGGCCAGGAGTTTGCACCACCCCTCCTCCTTTAATCATGGCTTGCTGGAGACACTGTACATTTCCGTGGTAAAAAGTGACTGCAGGGACCACAGAGTGTACGTGTTACTCCTGGCTTGAAGGCTGCAACTTGTCATTTTCCCTCCAGGAACCCAAGAAAAGCAATTTAGAATCTCTGTTTCATGTCAATTCTGGATAATTTTCCAGATAATGGATAAGGGCCATTTAATAGGGTTGAAAGCCCTTCAGGGGTCTCTATTCTCTGCGGGAAGAAGCTTGTACTCCTCGGCCTGGCATTCAAAGCCCTCCACAACCTGGTCCCAGTCAGTCTTCCCAGACTTCTATCCTGGGGCCACCATATCTCAAATTCTCAGCTTCCACCTGAAGACCTCTCCTCACCCTTCCCTGAGTGGGTCTCGTACAGCTCCTCATTCAAGGCTTCACTAAAGCCAACGGACTGTCCTCTGTCACCTGAGATGCTCTATCACCTTCCCCTTCCAAAATCTCACCTGGCCTTCGAAGTCTAGCAAGCTTTGTCCTCCTGCATAAAGACTTCACGGAGAGCCATAGATATCAACCAGCCTTCCCACTCTTTCTGTGTTCGGCATATTTATTATCTCTATCACTCTTGGGACATTTCTCCTGATGCCATCTTGAATTCTCAACTTTGTATATGTGCCTAATGAGACTAGAAGCTCCTGGAGGGCAGGAACTGGACTAGGACCTTTCTTTGTCTTAGGATAGTGCTGAACACAGAGCAGTCACTCAATATTTAACCGTAGAACCAAGGCATCAATGAGCCCTTTCCTTAGCTCCTTCTGCAGGACAACAGTACTTTACTCCAGGACAAACTGGTCCTCAAGTCTTTGGTCAGAAATCATAAATGCCCTGCTGGGGACCAACAGGAAACAGGGCTAGGACTGAGCTTTTTCCCAGTTGTGTTTTCTATTTCATGATTTCCTGCCCTGGCAGAGGCTGTTTCACGCATGGACCCTAGGCATGCAGAAGTCATATTTTTGTAACTAAAAGCAAATATAAGCATTGTAAATTGTTCTCCCATTATAAATGCCACAGAAGACACAATATTAAAAAAGAGAACATAAAACTCTGCTTTAAATTTTAAAGACCTACTCAAATTGCAATTCTAACATAACAATACAAGTTGGTCATGATAGTTCAAAGACTTAATTATAAAATACCTAGGTTTTTGGGTTTTTTGCCTTTTAATCTATGATCCTTCAAACTTAACATCTACATATTATTTTCAAGTCCAGATGATACTGCAAACTTTTGTAGGATAACAGCTATCATTTAACAGTGCTCTTTACTAGAAAAGCATTTTGTTCTCTAAAAAATACTAAGTACATTCTTGTAATTTTCACTTACCCTATACAACTATTTTCAAATTCTTTTTACTGCCTTATACAAAAATAAACTCCAACTTACTTTATATCACATTATCATAATTTAAAATTACAGCGATTGGGACTAATGAGGTCTGCCCAGTGCCCCAACACCCTCATGTTATTTGAATTGCAGTAAGAGTTATAAAGGTACTAACCTGAGTCATCTTGTGATTACAGGAAAATTACTTCTTGCCTTTGTGAAGCGTGGCAGTTTCTACCCTCAGAGAGTGACAGTTTTAGCTCATGACTTTGTCAGTGTGTAACGTAAATGAAAAGCAGTCGAGTGAAATCAAACAGCGAGGTCCTTCACGCGATGAAGCACTTTGCGTGAGTCTCTGAAGGGAACACAGGCTCTATTCGGAAAAACACAAATACTGAATGTCATTTTACAAAATACAAATATTGAACCAGAGACAGCCCAGGTTGACCTCTTAACCCATGCATAAATTACCCAGAGAAGAAGGGATTAGAAAGAACTGGGACTATGTGGACAATGCCAGAACTGTAAGGGGTTTCTGAATTAATTCCTAAGCTTTCTTTTTTTTTTTTCCCAAAGATTTTATTTTTATATTTGACAGAGAGAGCGAGAGAGGGAACACAAGCAGGAGTGGGAGAGGGAGAAACAGGCTTCCTGCAGAGCAGGGAGCCCAACACGGGGCTCGATCCCAGGACCCCGGGATCATGACCTGAGCCAAAGGCAGACGCTTAATGACTGAGCCACCCAGGTGCCCCTAATTCCTAAGCTTTCTATAAAATATACAGTACTTTCTCCCAAAATTACATTGAATGATCTCATCTTGTTCGTAGAAAAATTACAAGCATTGAGAGTCAACTCTGAATCCCATGGCCTAAGGAAATGTATACTATTTAAGACAATGTTACCAAACTGCATTAAATCATTCCAGTACAATTTAACTGCTCAGTATTTGCACATCACTTTGAGAAGTACTCCTACTTATTCTTCATTGTTCACATTTATTTTCTTTTCTCATCATACAGTGGGTCTGTCAGGAAACCCATCAGAAGACTCTTAGTTACTTAAAAAAAAAAAAAAGAAAAAAAAGATGGGCCTTGCATGCCAAAAAGCACTTTGTAATGTAGAAGTCTTGGGGTATAAAATGAGGTCTGGAGGGATGCCTGGTGTGGTAGGAAAAGCCAATTCTGTAATACACTGGGACCTGATTCCTTCTCTGTAAATGAAGCAAATGGACCTTAATCTAGATCACAGTTCTCAACCATGTTCCCCAGTCTTCATTTTCTTTGTATGTACACGTCACTGCCAAAATATAGACAGTGATTCTCAGGATGGTGGGGCGGCATGCATGTGGCTTCCCCCAACTTCCCCCTGTGCTCCACACCACCCCAGTCTTGGTCCCTATCTAAGAATCACTGATCTGGAGGTGCTTTGGAAAGCTTTATTTTGGGTCCTCAGAATATGCCTATTTATTAAAACGTCAGTCATCTCTCAATCGTATCAGGTATATGATCTGCACCACTGAGAGCCCCAAGGGTTGACTTTTTAGGAAAAACATTTAAGAAGGGTCTTGAAAGAGCTATTTGTCAAAGGATCTCATCTTTACTCATGCAATTTTAGAGCCTGCCTTTATCATCAAGGAGATGATGTTTCTTTACTGAGCCCTCACGCTAGCCCCCAAAAGAAATGCTCTCTACTTGGATCGACACTTGCATGCCCTGACCTAGGCACTCAAAGGAGTGCCAACTTGGCTATGCACCTTTCCTTCAGGCATTAGTGCCTAGATGTATTAACCTTCTCCAGTATGCCCCTGAAGATGAGTCCGTAATAGTAGCCAGTGAAAGGAATCGTAGAGAGTGCCGAAGGCATCTCTGAGCTACGTGGATGGGAGCAGGGGTGGGGAAGCTTTTCTGTACGCCAAAATCATACCTTCAACACCTATACATATAATTGACTTTCCTTATGTTTACTAACTTATGATCCAAATTTGTCCCCATTGAAAATGTGTGAATCATTTTATCTTCTCCAAGAAGCTGTTGGGCAAAGACAAAAGAGGATAGTATCTATCCTTTAAAATTGTTGAATTCAGATGAGTCCTTTTACCATATTAGCCCTATATCTCTGGAATAGTTAGTAGTAAAAAATGTATTTTCTGCACAGCAAAGAAAACAATCAACAAAACTAAAAGGCAACCTATGGAATGGGAGGAGATATTTGCAAATGGCATATCCAATAAAGAGTTAGTATCCAAAATATATAAAGAACTTACACAACTCAACACCCCAGGAACAAATAGTCCAATTAAAAATGGGCTAAAGACATGAACAGACACTTCTCCAAAGAAGACACACAGATGGCCAACAGACACATGAAAAGATGCTCAACATCCACTCATCATCAGGGAAATGCAAATCAAAACTACAATGAGCTATCACCTCACACCTGTCAGAATGGCTAAAATCAACAACACGGGAAACAACAGGTGTTGAGGATGATGTGGAGAAGAAGGAACCTTCTTACACTGTTGGTGGGAATCCAAACTGGTGCAGCCACTATGGAAAAGAGTAGGGAGGTTCCTCAAAAAGCGAAAAATAGAGCTACCCTGTGTTCCAATAATTGCACTACTGGCTATTTACAAAAAAAAAATCAAAACAAAACAAACAAAAAAACACTAATTCAAAGGGATACATGCACCCCAATGTTTATAACAGCATTACTTACAATAGCCAAGATATGGAAGCCACCCGAGTGTCCACTGATTAATGAGTGGATAAAGAAGAGGTGGCATATTATATATATATAAGGAATATTATTCAGCCGTAAAAAATAATGAAACCTTACCATTTGCAACAACATGGATGGAGTTAGATAGTATAATGCCAAGTGCAGTAAGTCAGTCAGAGAAAGACACCATATGATTTCACTCATACGTGGAATTTAAGAAACAAAACGAATGAGCAAAGGGGGAAAAAGAGAGAGAGACAAACCAAGAAACAGACTCTTAACTATAGAGAACAAACTGATGGTTACCAGAGGGGAGGTGGGTAGGGAGGTAAGTTAAATAGGTGACAGGGATTAAGGAGTGCACTTGTTGTGATCAGCAGCGGGTGATCTATGGAATTCTTGAATCACTATATTGTACACCTGAAATTAATGTAACACTATATGATAACTATACTGGAACTAAATTAAAAAAAATCTCCTTTGGCAATAGTGTAGGCTTATATTGCCCGGCCAGGTTCACAATGAAGACAGAGAAAGAACCCAGTTAAATATTTTAGGTATGATATTAAGCATGTAAAGCCAAACATAAGGGATATTGAGGAGAAAGGATCAGATTAATAGGACTGGGGAACTAATGAAGAGCACGCTGAAGAGGAAGCGGTAATAATAATAATGCTGACATTGTAAGGTGTACCACCACCATCTGAAAACCAAGTGGGAGAGACAATGAAAGGCAAACAAAATGAAACTTTGGTAATGACTATATATAAACCGATGAACCATTGTTTGGAATACATGTGAATGTATCAAAGAAGGTTACTTAAGATTTATGCGTCTGCAGGAAATAGGACATAAGAAGGACTGGATGTTGGTAACTGACTCTGAACCGCCATGATCAGTAACAGGTTATATTTCATGTACTGGCGTGGGCTGTTTGTACATATCCCTTACATTCTCTGATTGCAGCATTTTCCAGGTAGGAACAATGTAGCTTATGATGGCTGCATTTCTGCTGGGTATTGCAATTTACACAGTGCTCAATAAAGGTCTATTGTATAAATATGTGTAGAAAGGAATAGAAGAATAAAAAAGATGGCCCTTTAGATGGTGCTAAAGTCCACCATCAGAGGGAGGGTGCTGGATATGTTGTTTCCATCGTGTTTGGAAGACAACAAAGTAAGATGGATATGAAGCTTCAGGGCATCGGCTGGACTAAAGATCATTTAAAAATCATTATCCCACATCTTGGCAGTTAGGGCCATGAGAGTAGATTAAATCAAAAGAAATTATGCAGTGTTAAGAAAAGGAATGAGGTTAGAACACCAAGGATCCCTAATATTTAACCCTCACACATGTTAGTATCAGAGGGAAGCCTAGCCATGTGCTGCATTATAGCTCTACCATAATTAAATTTAATGCAAGAAACACTGACTGCGTCCCTACTAGGCAACAGTTGTTTTGGTAGCTATGAGAGGAGCAGAAAACGGGTGGTCCTTCCTCTCAAGAATCTACAGGCTGCTATAAGAGTAACACAGAACAAACACTGAATGACAGTAGTAGGAAGCAAGCACATGATTTATTGATAAAAAATATAGACAACGAGCAATGTTAGCTTCTATAATTTGGAGTGACACTTTGAGTATTATTCCCTCTACATAATGAGGCAAGTGAAACAGGATGCTCTTCTAATTAATATTCCCTACCCTACACAGAAAAGCCCTTAATGATACACTAGAGAGATTACAGAAGAAATGGTAGAAAAAGGAACACTGGCATTTCTAATTAAAATCTCATGAGCAGAACAAGCTCAGGGCCTCCAAGCTACATAATATGTAGCCGTGGGAGAATATGACCCTCTCTGTAATCCCAGCAGGGTCCAAAGGTCACCCCAGAGTCAATGTACATTGAAAGAAAGCAGACAACGTGAGGGAAATATATCTTAGGAGAAAGACCAAATATTCCCAAGAATACTTTGTTTTCCTGGAAAATTTTCAAAGATTACATGTCGAAATTGATTCCATTTAGGAGCAGGATACTATCTCCAAAATCTCAGTGAAGGAAATGAAGGTTCTCCTCTCATCCGGGTGAGGAGAGTGAGTGTACGAGGGGGAGGGTGGTTACAGGAGGAGATACAAAACAGGAACGAAGAACTCACAGCACAATATTGATGATGAGATCTGTTATCGAAGGCCACTCCTCCACAGGCAATGAATGACTAGACCAGATTCATGAAACTCTATTATAGTTCATTATGATTTTGTAGATTAGAGGCTGCTGGGAAGTCAAATATGAGTATGAAGAAAAATGAAACTATAGCACCCTGCTACCTCCAGGCATTTGCTGCTGGTGTCAATTTGACAAAACCAGCTCTGGTCTGTGTTAAGATAAAGGTAATAGGATCTCCAGAATGGCAGCTTGGAAGAAGTTTGTTTTGATGTTACAGAAGGGCAACACCAGGGAGAAGCAGAACCTGACCCATCTTCTTTCCTCTTAGGAAAGAAGGTTTCAGCAGGTCAGGTGCTGAGGAATCCCACACTCATCTTACTGTCAAACGATTGTTCAAGAAGGAGTTTTACATGAGGACTATGGTGTCAATATAAAACAAGACATGATTTTCTAAGAATGGAATAAGGGGATAAATGTGAAGATGTATTA